GTGCCGGGCCCCGAGGGGGCAGGAACAGACTCCCCCCAGCCACTCACCCACTCGGTGCAATTCACCAGGGCGCTGCTGGTCGGCTGGAGCAGGCAGGTGCTTCTGTAGGGGGCGCCATTGAACCTGCAGAGCAGGGTGGGTCAGGGAGAGCCAGGGGGCAAAGGCCAGAACCCCCCTTCCAGGCCGGCCGTGCTCACAGTTCCTGGGGGTGGGCTGAACCCCTGCTGGGCAGCTTGCGTCAGGTGGTGTCCCAGGGCCACAAACCCCCAGGGCCCGGAAGGTTTCATGGAGGTTAGGTCCATAAAAGGCTACGAGCCAGGGGGTAGGAATGGTGTCCTTGGCCTCTGTTTGTCAGAGGCTGGAGAAGGATGGCAAGAGACAAATGGCTTGATCATTGTCTTCGGTCCACCCTCTCTGGGGCACCTGGTGCTGGCTACTGTCGGCAGACAGGCTACTGGGCTAATGGACCTTTGGTCTGACCCAGTACAACCATTCTTATGTTTTTATGTTCTTATGACTATTCAATTAACCTATATTTAGCTGCCCTACTATTCCCTTTCCCACCCGAGAATCCCAGAAGGAGACCCTGTGTGTACCTCTGGTGCCCCTGCAAGGGTCTCGACAGGGCCTGTGGGCACTTCTGCTCCCTTCTCCTGCCCCCAAGGGTCCCAGAAGAGCAGCCTGCACGCGTCCCTGCTCCCCTCCCCTGCAAGGGCACCTCCACACACACCTCTGCTCCCCTCCAAAAGGGCGCACACTGCGCCCCTGCACACACCTCTCAAGGTGCCAGAAGAACAGCTCTCCCCCTTACCCCAGGTCCCGGAAGGGCACCTCAAACTCCAGCTCCTCCTTGGTCAGAGCCTCCACCTTCTCGATGAAATTCTTAAAGGCTGTTTTCAGCTTGTGCCTCATCTCACGCTCCATCTGCACAGGGCACAGCGATGTCAGCCGGGCTCCTGGGGCCCCCCCCAGCCGGGACCCAGCCTCCCAGCCGGGACCCTCCCCCACCTCCATCTGCACAGGCCACAGTGATGTCAGCCGGGCTCCTGGGGACCCCCCCAGCCGGGACCCACTCCCCCAGCCGGGACCCTCCCCCACCTCCATCTGCACAGGCCACAGTGATGTCAGCCGGGCTCCTGGGGACCCCCCCAGCCGGGACCCACTCCCCCAGCCGGGACCCTCCCCCACCTCCATCTGCACAGGCCACAGTGATGTCAGCCGGGCTCCTGGGGACCCCCCCAGCCGGGACCCACTCCCCCAGCCGGGACCCTCCCCCACCTCCATCTGCACAGGCCACAGTGATGTCAGCCGGGCTCCTGGGGACCCCCCCAGCCGGGACCCACTCCCCCAGCCGGGACCCTCCCCCACCTCCATCTGCACAGGCCACAGTGATGTCAGCCGGGCTCCTGGGGACCCCCCCAGCCGGGACCCACTCCCCCAGCCGGGACCCTCCCCCACCTCCATCTGCACAGGCCACAGTGATGTCAGCCGGGCTCCTGGGGACCCCCCCAGCCGGGACCCACTCCCCCAGCCGGGACCCTCCCCCACCTCCATCTGCACAGGCCACAGTGATGTCAGCCGGGCTCCTGGGGACCCCCCCAGCCGGGACCCACTCCCCCAGCCGGGACCCTCCCCCACCTCCATCTGCACAGGCCACAGTGATGTCAGCCGGGCTCCTGGGGACCCCCCCAGCCGGGACCCACTCCCCCAGCCGGGACCCTCCCCCACCTCCATCTGCACAGGCCACAGTGATGTCAGCCGGGCTCCTGGGGACCCCCCCAGCCGGGACCCAGCCTCCCAGCCGGGACCCTCCCCCACCTCCATCTCCACAGGCCACAGCGATGTCAGCCGGGCTCCTGGGGCCCCCCCCAGCCGGGACCCTCCCCCACCTCCATCTCCACAGGCCACAGCGATGTCAGCCGGGCTCCTGGGGCCCCCCCCAGCCGGGACCCTCCCCCACCTCCATCTCCACAGGCCACAGCGATGTCAGCCGGGCTCCTGGGGCCCCCCCCAGCCGGGACCCTCCCCCACCTCCATCTCCACAGGCCACAGCGATGTCAGCCGGGCTCCTGGGGCCCCCCCCAGCCGGGACCCTCCCCCACCTCCATCTCCACAGGCCACAGCGATGTCAGCCGGGCTCCTGGGGCCCCCCCCAGCCGGGACCCTCCCCCACCTCCATCTCCACAGGCCACAGCGATGTCAGCCGGGCTCCTGGGGCCCCCCCCAGCCGGGACCCTCCCCCACCTCCATCTCCACAGGCCACAGCGATGTCAGCCGGGCTCCTGGGGCCCCCCCCAGCCGGGACCCTCCCCCACCTCCATCTCCACAGGCCACAGCGATGTCAGCCGGGCTCCTGGGGCCCCCCCCAGCCGGGACCCTCCCCCACCTCCATCTCCACAGGCCACAGCGATGTCAGCCGGGCTCCTGGGGCCCCCCCCAGCCGGGACCCTCCCCCACCTCCATCTCCACAGGCCACAGCGATGTCAGCCGGGCTCCTGGGGCCCCCCCCAGCCGGGACCCTCCCCCACCTCCATCTCCACAGGCCACAGCGATGTCAGCCGGGCTCCTGGGGCCCCCCCCAGCCGGGACCCTCCCCCACCTCCATCTCCACAGGCCACAGCGATGTCAGCCGGGCTCCTGGGGCCCCCCCCAGCCGGGACCCTCCCCCACCTCCATCTCCACAGGCCACAGCGATGTCAGCCGGGCTCCTGGGGCCCCCCCCAGCCGGGACCCTCCCCCACCTCCATCTCCACAGGCCACAGCGATGTCAGCCGGGCTCCTGGGGCCCCCCCCAGCCGGGACCCTCCCCCACCTCCATCTCCACAGGCCACAGCGATGTCAGCCGGGCTCCTGGGGCCCCCCCCAGCCGGGACCCTCCCCCACCTCCATCTCCACAGGCCACAGCGATGTCAGCCGGGCTCCTGGGGCCCCCCCCAGCCGGGACCCTCCCCCACCTCCATCTCCACAGGCCACAGCGATGTCAGCCGGGCTCCTGGGGCCCCCCCCAGCCGGGACCCTCCCCCACCTCCATCTCCACAGGCCACAGCGATGTCAGCCGGGCTCCTGGGGCCCCCCCCAGCCGGGACCCTCCCCCACCTCCATCTCCACAGGCCACAGCGATGTCAGCCGGGCTCCTGGGGCCCCCCCCAGCCGGGACCCTCCCCCACCTCCATCTCCACAGGCCACAGCGATGTCAGCCGGGCTCCTGGGGCCCCCCCCAGCCGGGACCCTCCCCCACCTCCATCTCCACAGGCCACAGCGATGTCAGCCGGGCTCCTGGGGCCCCCCCCAGCCGGGACCCTCCCCCACCTCCATCTCCACAGGCCACAGCGATGTCAGCCGGGCTCCTGGGGCCCCCCCCAGCCGGGACCCTCCCCCACCTCCATCTCCACAGGCCACAGCGATGTCAGCCGGGCTCCTGGGGCCCCCCCCAGCCGGGACCCTCCCCCACCTCCATCTCCACAGGCCACAGCGATGTCAGCCGGGCTCCTGGGGCCCCCCCCAGCCGGGACCCTCCCCCACCTCCATCTGCGCAGGGCAGAGCAACATCAGGGATCCCCCCCCTTCTGAGCCCCCTGCCCTTCCCTCCCCTCCATGGAGCAATTCGGGGACAGCAGCCCCCTGATGAACCCTCAGAGGCCCCTCAACGCAGCCCCCCCATTTCATACTCCATGTTGGAGCAGCAAGGCCAGGCTGCCCCGCACCTGCTCAGCGTAGAGGTCGTCCCGGTCGTGCATGTGCTGGTGCTTGCCCAGGTCGGTGGTGATTTCGCCCACCTCGGTGTAGAACTGCACATCCGTGTGCCGCTTCTTCCCAAACATGATGGCGTTCTGGGGGAAGGGGAGACTGCAGTGTCATGCATGCACCCCCACCTACCTCCAGAGAGGCAAGCCATGCCGGAGGAGTCTGGGCTGGAAGTGCAGCAATGCGAGCACCTCCCGGATGTAGGGCCAGGCCAAGGGGGTGGAGGCGGCTAAGGGCCCTACCCTTGAGGAGGACGTGCTCCCTGCTGCAAGGTCAGGCCAGGGGGTACAGGAACCCTACATGAGGTGGACGCACTCTCTGTTGCAGGACTGGACCAGGGGATACAGGGGTGTGTGTGGGGGGCCCTGCCATGAGATGGATGTGCTCCCTGCTACTGCCAGGATGGGCCAGGGGCCGGGCGTACGGGGGGGTGTGATGGGGCCCTACCTTACAGTGGACGTGCTCCCCACTGCAGGGCCGGGCCGGGCGTACGGGGGGGTGTGATGGGGCCCTACCTTACAGTGGACGTGCTCCCCACTGCAGGGCCGGGCCGGGCGTACGGGGGGGTGTGATGGGGCCCTACCTTACAGTGGACGTGCTCCCCACTGCAGGGCCGGGCCGGGCGTACGGGGGGGTGTGATGGGGCCCTACCTTACAGTGGACGTGCTCCCCACTGCAGGGCCGGGCCGGGCGTACGGGGGGGTGTGATGGGGCCCTACCTTACAGTGGACGTGCTCCCCACTGCAGGGCCGGGCCGGGCGTACGGGGGGGTGTGATGGGGCCCTACCTTACAGTGGACGTGCTCCCCACTGCAGGGCCGGGCCGGGCGTACGGGGGGGTGTGATGGGGCCCTACCTTACAGTGGACGTGCTCCCCACTGCAGGGCCGGGCCGGGCGTACGGGGGGGTGTGATGGGGCCCTACCTTACAGTGGACGTGCTCCCCACTGCAGGGCCGGGCCGGGCGTACGGGGGGGTGTGATGGGGCCCTACCTTACAGTGGACGTGCTCCCCACTGCAGGGCCGGGCCGGGCGTACGGGGGGGTGTGATGGGGCCCTACCTTACAGTGGACGTGCTCCCCACTGCAGGGCCGGGCCGGGCGTACGGGGGGGTGTGATGGGGCCCTACCTTACAGTGGACGTGCTCCCCACTGCAGGGCCGGGCCGGGCGTACGGGGGGGTGTGATGGGGCCCTACCTTACAGTGGACGTGCTCCCCACTGCAGGGCCGGGCCGGGCGTACGGGGGGGTGTGATGGGGCCCTACCTTACAGTGGACGTGCTCCCCACTGCAGGGCCGGGCCGGGCGTACGGGGGGGTGTGATGGGGCCCTACCTTACAGTGGACGTGCTCCCCACTGCAGGGCCGGGCCGGGCGTACGGGGGGGTGTGATGGGGCCCTACCTTACAGTGGACGTGCTCCCCACTGCAGGGCCGGGCCGGGCGTACGGGGGGGTGTGATGGGGCCCTACCTTACAGTGGACGTGCTCCCCACTGCAGGGCCGGGCCGGGCGTACGGGGGGGTGTGATGGGGCCCTACCTTACAGTGGACGTGCTCCCCACTGCAGGGCCGGGCCGGGCGTACGGGGGGGTGTGATGGGGCCCTACCTTACAGTGGACGTGCTCCCCACTGCAGGGCCGGGCCGGGCGTACGGGGGGGTGTGATGGGGCCCTACCTTACAGTGGACGTGCTCCCCACTGCAGGGCCGGGCCGGGCGTACGGGGGGGTGTGATGGGGCCCTACCTTACAGTGGACGTGCTCCCCACTGCAGGGCCGGGCCGGGCGTACGGGGGGGTGTGATGGGGCCCTACCTTACAGTGGACGTGCTCCCCACTGCAGGGCCGGGCCGGGCGTACGGGGGGGTGTGATGGGGCCCTACCTTACAGTGGACGTGCTCCCCACTGCAGGGCCGGGCCGGGCGTACGGGGGGGTGTGATGGGGCCCTACCTTACAGTGGACGTGCTCCCCACTGCAGGGCCGGGCCGGGCGTACGGGGGGGTGTGATGGGGCCCTACCTTACAGTGGACGTGCTCCCCACTGCAGGGCCGGGCCGGGCGTACGGGGGGGTGTGATGGGGCCCTACCTTACAGTGGACGTGCTCCCCACTGCAGGGCCGGGCCGGGCGTACGGGGGGGTGTGATGGGGCCCTACCTTACAGTGGACGTGCTCCCCACTGCAGGGCCGGGCCGGGCGTACGGGGGGG